AGGAGAGAACTGATTCCTCCGCGTCGTCCTACACTGCACTAGAGCCCCTCATGAGTACTCTCGTGCACACATACCCACATACACCCAACAACAATAGAAACACCTTCAAAACTAGTTACAGTTCTTGCTGGGTGTGATGGGACAGACTTGTAATCCTAGCAGGTAGGTAGCAGCAACAGTGGGATTGCTGGATTCAAGGCTGGCCAGTGAGCCTACATGGTTCCCAGAGAGCTAGTAATACGACGGGGGACTCCACCTCAAAGACATTGAAAATAAGGAAAAGCTTTTGAATTAGTACGTTTTTGAAATATTTTATTATTTTTATGTGTATGGGTATTTTGACTGCATGCATGTCTGTGCACCACATCAGTGCAGCGCCCACAGAGGCTAGAGGACGGCACTGGGTTCCACAGAAGCGGAGTTGTTAGCCTGTTGTAAGTCACCGTTCGGGTTCTGGGAACTGAGCCCAGGTCCTCTGGAAGAGCAGCTGGTACTCAACTGCTGAGCCCTGTCTCCAGCTGCTCAAGACCCCTGTTAACCGACACATGCAAATCATACATATTTAGCCTGGAGAGTATATTGTTTACTGCAACTAGCACTGAATTCATTTATACTGTGGAATTGGCTTAACATTCCCATTTTTCTCAGGTATTTCTGTTTTTTGAAGGTCTGAGCTTTTTTTTTTTTTTTTTTCATTTTTTATGTACAAAGACTAGCACGATCAGTTTTACTGGGTAGACAGTCTTGACTAATCCATTCAAGGCTGACTAGTCCAACTTAATGAAGCCTATATCCTTCACTAATGGCACATGTGCATTCTGTATTTCTGGATCAGAGTGTGAGGTAGGGCAAGCAGCAAGAGTGAGAACCTGGCCGAACTTCCGTGGGTGACTCCAGTAGAGCTGCTGGTGACCCATCTTGCCTTCACATGGCCAACAAGAAAAAAGCAGGCGTTTCTTTTTTATTTTTGAGACAGCAACTCATGTGGCCCAGGCTGCCTCAAATTCATTATGTAGCTAAGGATAACCTTGAGCTCCTGATCCTCCTTCCTCTACCTCAGTTGTTGGAATTACAGATGTGGGCAACCATGTAAGATTAAGTATTGACTTTTTTTGTAGTGAAACACTTAAAACCTACTTTATGAACTTCCAAATGTGTTATCTTATAAGTATGGATACAAAACTAGGCTGCTCTAAAGAGCCTCAGAGCTTATTCACACAAACTGATGAAACTTTGGATGTTTTGACCAACATCTGTCTATCCCTGTCTTCTTACCCTCTGGTAACCAAAGTTCTATTGGATGATAGCCTCAGATCTAGAAATGCAATTTTAAACTTTTTTTTTTCACAAAATTTTAACATTTTGTGAAAATGGATCTCCCTCCCCTGACTTTTTTATTGTTTTGAGATAGGGTTTCCCCATGTACCTCTGGCTGTGCTGGTTCTGTAGACTAGGCTGGCCTTGAGCTCACAGAGATCTACCTGTCTCTGCCTCCTGGGCGCTGGGATTAAAGCTGTGCACCACTATGCCCAGACGATTTTTATTTTTTTATGTGCATGGGTATTTTGCCAGCATGAAGGTCTGTATATTTTATGCATGCGGTGCCTGTGGAGGCCAGAGGAGGACATAAGATTCCCTGGAGCTGGAGTTACAGAAGGTTGTAGGCTGCCAGGCGGGTGCTAGGAATCAACCCTGAGTCTTCTGAAAGCTCAGGAGGTGCTCTCAACCAGTGAATCATCCTTCCAGCCCTGGCTGTTGCTTTTCCATAGTTTCTTGCTATGTAGTACAAGGTAGCATTGAATTCTTTATTTTAAGAGAGTCCACAGTAGCCCAGGCAGGTTCCTCAAGTTACTTCCTAGGTGAGGATGTCCTTGAACTCCTGCTTCTCCATCTTTCTGCTACCAATCCCCAAGTACTGTGCCAGAGTGCTTGGCTGGCTTTGAGCCTCCGTCCTTCTTTCTCAGTCTCTGGGAATGATAGCATTCCAGGAGTATGCTACCATGTCTGGCAAAAAATAAAAAAATAAAATAAAAAATTAAAGACAGGTGTATGGAAATTTTGGTTTCTTTGTAAACTCAGTTATGTTATATAAAAATGCTTTTCTTTTAAAGCCAAGTGTGAGATTTCAGTTTGTCCACAGCTGTTATTTTTCTCATGTGGGGTGTGGCTTTTGCCAGCTGGGACCCACACAGAGGGGCATGGTCTGGGACTCTGATGCTATAAATTGACAGCCAAGCAAGAGTGTGGGCATGGTATTGGTGTGTGGCTTGTAGCAGTTTGGAGAAGCTAAAGAAACATGTCCCGATGCAGTGTCTTGAAGAAGACTGGCGGCTGTGTGTGCTGTTGACAGAGATGATATAACTCTAAAAGAATAAAAGAACCCTTCAACCCTAAAAGCCAGTAGAAGTAAAGGGGCCCTCTTTCCCTACTAACCTTCTCTCTCCTACGTAGGGTAGGGAGGTTGGAAGGGGGTTGAGGCCTAAACACCCCAAATAAAGCAGACTTAAAAAAAAAATGAGTGCTGCAGACAGGTTTCACTATGTGGCCCTGTGTGCCCTTGACCCTTTTGTGTAGACCAGGATGGCCTTGACATCTGTCTCTTCCTCCCAAGTGCTGAGCTTAAAGCATATGCCATCCTACCCAGGGCTATATTGGTCTTATGGGCAGCTGAATGTTATGGTTGAAAGTGAACAAATTGCTACTTATCCCTCAAGATGACCATCCATTGTAAACACCTTTTTGGTGCAAAGTAACATAGCTATGGGAGATTGGGATTACCCACTGAACATACCCTAGTATTTTTAAGAGTCCTGATCCATATTTACATTTTAGGGAAACCCAAATAATGACAAAATGAAATCTAAAGTGTATTCTAGGGATGTATTAAGAAGGATTTTAAAGCCAGGTGGCGGCACAGCAAGCCTTTGATCCCATGACACAAGAGGCAGAGGCAGGGAATGTCTGTGAGTTCCAAGGCCAGCCTGGTCTACAGAGCCATTTTCAGAGCAGCCAAGGCTACACAAGAAACCCTATCTCAAAAAACAAAACAAATAAAAAAAGGATTTTAAGCCAAGAGTGTGTGGCTCATGGCTTCACTCCAGCACTCGAACCCTAGCACTCCGGAGGTTAGATGGATTTCTAAGATGGATTCTGAGTTGGAGACCAATTTGGTTTCCTACTGAATTCCAGGACAGCCAGGGCTATTTAGTGAAATGCAGTTTCAATAAATAAATAAATAAATAAATAAATAAATAAATAAATAAATAAATAAATAAAAAGTTGGGTGCCGTGCTGCACACCTGTAACCCCAGCACTCAGAGAGGCAGAGCCAGGCAGATCTCTATGAGTTTGTGTCGGGAGCCGCTCCCGCCACTACAAGGTGGCGCCGGTCTCCTGCT